TCCGAACAAGCTTATTTCTGCCGTTACATCTCATCGCTTGGTTAGCGACTGATGGTTATCCGATCTCAGAGATTTGCGGGGCTCCCGCGGATCTGTGAACGCGGGCAGCAACGGGGGGTGCCCGAATCCGTCGTTCCCTACTCGGCCCCTGAGTGGTTGTTCGAACAGTCCAGAGCAGGCTCGGTGTGCCACCCCATCCCACCCACCACACCGATATGAAGGTGCGCTTATCCCCCCTAAATATTAACGATAAACATGTTTCGCGCAGACAAGCTTCCGTATTATTGCAGAAGTGTCAGGGAATTTGTGGAGGTTGAGGGACGAACAGGAAGCCCGCCGATTCGGCACGCCCGTCAGACAACCCTGGCGGGCTTGACATGAGAACTGAGCCGATCTCTGGACGGGCATGCACGGCTGAAGTCTGTCGGCTATTGGGCATTCTGCTCGCACTCGCCTTCGCAAATTCCGATGGCAGGTTTCTACCTTCTGCCCAAACCCTGACGGGGCTATCGGTGCCAGTGTTCAGGTCCTCGACGCCCCCTTATTGGCCAAGAGGAGCCCGGTACACGTCCACTGGTCAGTCAGGGTCCTTCCACGAGCGGCCACGAATGGAACGGTCGTACGCCAACGTCCGCCCACACTGCTGGACGCACCTGTCCCTGTCCAACAAGCGCTGGTGGGGATTCCTGCTGCTGTAGGAGCAAACGTCCGACCGAGTTCTGAATGTAATGAAGTTCGTTGGTTTGATAAAGAGGATCGACGTGGCAAACTGCTTGTTCTCCATCCGAACAGCTCTCTCGTTCCTGTTCCTGATCGGCGCTCACGGTAAGATCCAAGATCTCAGCCCCTGGCGGGCGCGTGTCTGTGGGAGCGGACAGACAGCTCCGAGGCGGGCTGGGGGAGAACCGATGGGGCGCCGGCCGGACATTTTCGACCGGCGTGCGTTGCCTGCCGGGTGGCGGTGTAACATCGCGGCGGCTTCATTGCGGGAACATCATAAAGCCCTTGTCAACTTCGACCCCCGTTTTTCCTATTGTTTTTTTCATGGCTTTCTTCTGTTTCCCACCCGCAAGTGGATCGCAAAGAAGACCCTGAAAGTTTCAATCTTCGAACTCGAGGCGGCTGAAAGATGGCATCCACCCTTCGCAACGTCGTGGCCCACCCACGCAACCAACCGCCAGCGGCCCCACCTAGGGTAAATGATTGCGAACATCCGCACAACTCGGCATCCACAACATCTGGCAAGATGGCCGAGCGGTCTAAGGCGCTAGCTTCAGGTGCTAGTCTAGAAATAGGCGAGGGTTCGAATCCCTCTCTTGTCACAATATCACGGCACTGAGCCGTTTCTTTTTAGTGTTTTTGAGACAATTTTGTTGTTGCGAGGTTTGTTAGCACGCATACGTCGTGAGGCATGTCGTCCGACACGTGTGGAAGTTCCCAGTCATGTCGTGATCCTGTGCCTTGTGCGACTGCCTTCAGAAGGCTCAGACAATGGCGTTAGGGCCTGCCTACTTAAGGACGGACTATTTAACTGCACCTGTTGGTATCCCTTACTGTTGCTGGGCAAATCGTCAAGTATGCCAGCAATGGAGATCCGTGAGATTCGCCGTTACACACCTCCCTTGGGGCCCTTCAGGTTGAGGTTTACGAAGAGCCGTTAGGTTGTGTAATCAGTGTGCTATAAACTACCACGCTGTCGCCGTCGTAAGTGTATTCTAAGGAATATTCTGAGAATGCGGGTGGCATACGCCGCTGAGGGATTGTCGAGAATACATAGTTAGTACACTTGGTAAATGATCTTGAGAGTTGTGGCACTCGGGCTCCAAATCCGGAAGTCACCGCACAGTCCCTGGCTGCGGCATTACTCACAAGCTATCGCCCATTTTGCGGTTCTTATATCCCAGTCTCCAATCATGCCCATGCCTCTTGACGTTTGGATATTCAACTCCAGAAGCCTGCGTTTCACTCAGCTACGTCGCGGAATTACGAGTCCTCCGGTCCCTCGGTCGCGTAAAGGGGGTGTTCTCGCATTGGATTGATGTTACACCAATCGATTCTTAGCTGGAATCTTTCCCAGTAGGAGGCTCCTTGTGTGCGGCATGTGTTTGTTGTTGTCGTCATCCAAGGTCCCGGCTGGCGAAGAGTGGGTGACCATTGGACTTCCCGGGGGCTCGCCATGTCGTCGTAGGCGGTTTCTTCAGCTTGAATAGGCCGAGTGGGACGGACGTAAGACAGTAAGACACCGCAAGATTTTGACTTGGTTAAAGGGGATGATATTTTGGGCTCTCCAAGGCCTCTTGTCCTAAGGTAGAATCACCTCTGCTGATAAGACACCAGTGGTCTCGGGAGTCTTTGCCCATTGGTTTGCTGGCAAGTTGTATGCCCGAGTGGCTCACTTTTATAATCCCAGAGCTGCCTCTTCTGGGCAGAATACATACGTTTCGGATAGACCGTACAGTATAAATTGAATAGACGTTCTGCGGAACTCAACAGCCAACGCGGAAATCCAACGCGTTGATCTTGCCTTCGAGAATTCGCTGGTTGATTCCGGAGTGCTGTGTGCACATTCCCCAGTGGGTGCTGCAGCCACCAGCGCGAATCCTTTTCACAAAGAAAAGGCGCTCTGAAGCCCTCTTTGGTATCAACAGCTCCAGTATTCGAAGTGTATCAAGTCAAAAAGTTGTCGGACAATGGGGAATAGTCTCCTGCATCGCATGCTACCACAATCACGGCTTGTATTCATTTTTCGGTGGCCCTGATTACGATGACGAGGGAAAAGTGTCAGCAGAAGGTGACATTCTTGCGGAGAAGGTCTACGATATGAGCTGTAGACCCATTTTATATCAGCTCCATATCGACCATCGTCCTCGTGTCAGGCAAGAGGGGATTCTACGTATGATGTTTCTCGACTTTGGCGTAGAACTGCACAAATTATCCAATCCGGTGCTGTCTATGACTCAGCCAAGCTTCATCGCCGCTCCTTGACCGTTGGTTTCCCCTGTTACTCCTTAAAGCCTTGGATGCGCTTCGACAGTAAGACGGGCTTCAGTATGAGGCGTTGAGAAGGTTTCACTTCGTATCACTTCACCAGTCTCACCAGATAGAGAAGCCTTTGGAGTTGCCAGTAGTCCAGAAGATCCTCTATATTGCTCTACCCAAGATCCTGCCCGATATATGCTCCGCCTAGACAGTCGCCCGCCTTTTCCAAATTTTGTCATCCAAACACAACACACATCTCAGACCCTCTAGTTGATAGCTCTCATGGTCATCTCGACAACCGCAAAGGTACCAGCGCTCACAGGCATGGCCCTCAACAGAGTCGGCACAATACCCCTCCAGAACCCCCTCAGCCCCTCGCCGCGGTACGTCTGCGCGAAGCAGTCGCGCATCGTCTTGTACCTCTGCTCGGCGCCGAAGCCGTCCGTCTGCATCTTGCTCTTGACGACGTCGAACGGGTAGCTGCCGAGCCACAGCGCCTCGCCGGCGAGGCCGCCGTACCACGCGACCTTGTAGCTGGGGATCTCCTTGCGGTCGACCTTGTTGCGCGCCGCGTCCGCGTTCATCATCCACTCGAACGCGAGGAACCACACGCCGTACGCCTGCGCCTCGCGCCAGATCGTCACCGCCTCGCCGCGGTACAGGCCCTTGAGCACGCCGCCGTGCGCCGACAGCTTGCGCACGCAGTCGAGCGGGCCCGAGTACAGCCGCGCCGCGCCGTGCGGCTGCGTCTGCAGGCGGATGCGCACGTGCTCGATGGGGCCCGAGATGACCGAGTTGGCGACGCCCGCAAAGGCCCCCGCGGCGTAGTACTGGCCGTACGAGAGCGCGGGGCTGCCGACCTTGGCGGAGTTGGCGGCCTCGAAGTAGCGGCGCGCCTGGTGGAAGGCGCCGAACTGGATGGAGACGCAGGCGCCGATGCCGAGGAGGGGGGTGAGGGTGCCCTTGTAGAAGGCGAGGGGGCCTTCGTTCTTGTAGATCTGGGTGGCGGCGTCGACGGCTGTTGTTGCGGTTGTGGAGGTCTGGAGGCGGACCTTGACAATGTCAAAGGGCTGGCCTGAGTACGGTTAGCATGTCAAATCATTGTACCGATCAATTGGGCTCATTGAGATGAGATATCATGAGAATGTCGGTGGTGGGAGTGAGATGTCGTTGAGCTCGGATGTTCTTCCGAAGTCGGCCCCGTGCCGAAGCTTCAACTCGGGAAACACAAACTCATGCTCTCTCCGTTTGGATTTCCTCGACGATAAGATACAAAATGAGCTCAATTCAGAGCAACTTACCCAGGAGGACCTGCGCAATACCACCAGCTGCACCGGCAAAGAGATCCTTGGCCGTCTGCAGCGCTCCGCCGCCAGCGATCTCGGGGTCGACTGCCGCGTCCGCCATTGTGTGTTCTCGGTCTGGATCTAACCCCGCGCCCAATCGCTTATCGGGGCCTCCCTCGGCTCTTTTGCGACAGAGACTTGATGAAAAGTCTTTTGTTCGCGACTGGATGCGAGACTAGCTAGCAGAACTGCGGTGAGAGCACGGCGGCTTCAATTGACCGAGAAGCGAAATGGTGGTTGTTGGTTGAAGGACCCTGAGCTTGAGTAGCTTTAGGTTTAGGTGAGATTTATTTATCAGCTGCCGGTTCCCCAGATAGCTGGTGTGGGGCATGCATCCAAGGCGCGAATGGCGTGCTACCGTTTGGCTCGTTGTGGTCCTCAACTTGATGACTCAGCTGCGTTCCCGACAGTTGTGAGCACAATAGAGTCAGTTTTGTAGACGCAATATGCTGAGATTTTGATGTCAGGTGTGATCATCTGCAATAACTTCCTACCTATCAATTCAGACAATCATCGCATTCAGACAGGCGGACCATCTGAGAAAGACATAACAATAAGAAACAAGTATCGTTGATATCATGCTTAGCTATGCATCAGTATAGTCGGAATATTAATCGAGTCCAGAATGTTCTTGCTTGCCCGATGCTGTTTGGCTTCCGCTGAAATGTCCAATATCTAGTACCGCCTGATACCCTTCTTCTCCCCTTTCGCCGCCTCCTGCGCCTGCGCATTAATCTGGATAGCCTCCTTGAGCTTCCCAATGACCTCAGGCTGATTGCTGAATGCCCGTTGCAACACCTCGTCCAGCTCCTTCTCGACCTTGCCAATCGGCTTCACTCCCACCTTTCTTTCTCTCGCGTCGTTCATCAGCTTGCCCCAACGCTGAGTGAAGGCGACGATCGACTGCCTCAGCAGCTCATCAAGCTGCTCGCTCATGTCTTCCACCGTCAACGTCTTCGCCGTGACCGACGGTTGCTGCGTGCCACCACGTGACCAGAGCGAGCCGATGCTGATGATGTTGCTGACAAGGCCGACCCAGTTCTGAGGGCTCAGGTGGTCCCAGATATGGCCAAAGTGCTGCATGGCGGCGGCGTCGCTGCGGATGTCGCCAATCTCGAGAGACACAAGTTCGTTCTTGATGATGAGGAGGTTCTTGACCATGAAGAGATCGGCGTCGGTTCCAGCTTTGATGGACTTGATGCGTGCTTCGGCGCGTTGCAGAATTTGAATCGTTTCGCGGACGATCTTGAAGACGACTTGGCTGTTCTTTTGCTGTTGACGGTGTTAGTCTGCGGTTCGAATGGATCGGGACGGTACGACTTACGCTTCGTTCTTTCGGCATGGCTTGATCGTACATGGACAGCAGCGTCAACGCCTGCTTCACCGTGGGGTACGCGTTGGACGTAGACAGGCCATTAATAACGGGCCCGATTGTGAGTGCGTCGTCTTTCACCACGGCCTTGGTAACCGTCTTGGTGATCTCCGCCTCGAAGGAGTTGTCGGTGAATACCCACAGGTGCTCCGTCAACAGCCTAGCACTGAGTTCTCGGCACTGACGAGCAAAAGGAGACTCCTCTTCATCGTAGTCGAGAACCAGGTACTCATTCGTCAACCAGCCGACGACACTGCAGATCGTATCGAGGTCAGCGGATTGCAGGGCGGATTGCAGGTTTGTAGCCAGGTGCACAATGTTGGCCGGGTTAACGAGCGACCTGTTGTTTGACTTCAGAACCATATAGGCAGACTCGAGGTCTGAGCTCCATTGGAGATCCAGGCCAAAGATTTTAGCAAACAGGTTAGACTCGTTGAAGGCGCGTTCGAAGGTCTGCTTGATGTAGTTTCTCGACGCCGTCTCCACAGACAGGTCCTTGATCTCCTTCTTAAACTCGTCCACATCATGCTGCATCATGAGCTTCAAGTCGCGATCGCGGACGGCGAGATACGACTGGAAGAGGTTGCTGACGGTGTTGGAGTATATCTCCTTGGCGACACCAGCGATGGGAAGACCGTATTCGTCGTACACGCTGTTGACGACTTTGTGGATGTTCGGGATCAACGAGTACGAGTCCAGAATCATATCTTGGAAGCGGCCGTAGGCGATCGCATGCCGCGTCGCTTCCGACTTTGTCGCTGCAATTTGACCTGCGATCTCGGATGAGATGCTGTCCAGTCGGTTCGTGAAGCCAACCTCGAGCAGATGCAGCGCCTTGGTGAGCAGAGACTCATAGCGCGCAAGGTAAGATTCAGCATCACGGTATGTTGTCTGATATCTGAGGTTAGACAAAGTGGCAGATCAGAGACGAGGGGATCGTACATGTTTAGACATGAAGTTTATGCAGGAATCCAAGTTCCTCAGGACCTCGCCGAACGAGTCGTCGTCTACCAAACGGCCCGCACCAGGCGCGTTCAGGCGTCTTGTGACGTTGTCCAGATACAGATAGAAGTGGATATCGGTGCCGACCTCGTCCGCAAGCTTCTCGAGTCTCTGCTGCTCGGACAACAGTTCCTCGCATTGCGACTGGAACGACGAAGTCTGGGCCTCCACAGATTGGAACGAGTCGGAGAGCGTCGTCAGGAGATTTAGAGCAGCGTTCGTGTCGTCAATGAGAGCATCGAGGTGTCGTTCAGTCAGCGTCAATTGGTCTTTGTACAGCCTGGTCTCTGTTAGCGACCTTCCTAGAAAGTGAGGATGCTGAACGCACAAGTATTCCTGCTGGCTGGCTTCGAGAAGCTGCTCGTCACAATGGTCCAGCACTGGCCTGCGACTCAGGCTGGGGTCATTGACCTGCGCCGCGACGTCCAGGGCATCCCAATTCTTGTCCTTCCTCCGCTTCCTCCTCTTCTTCTGCTCGTCTTTGGCCAAATGAGCTCGAACGACGTGGTAGAAGTCGGAATACGACTTGGCGCGGCGCAGAACCGTGGCCTCCGGGGGCGTGTTTGTGTCTTCGATCTCTTCAAAGATCTCGTCGAGAGCTTCGGGGGTATCTGACGCTTGTGCGATGCCCTACGACCCAAGCTACAGTTAGAAAGCTGTCTAGAGCGAGGTGGGGTGGAAGCATCGCGGCTTACGTTGGGCTGCTGCAGCAGCGACTCCTTGCGACGGTGGCCAGACCCTTGCGCGGCAGAGGCGGCCTTCTTGGCCACGTCGGGCACGAAGCTGTACCAGGAGTCGTCGTACATGGTGGGCTGGCTGCTCGGGACGGTGGAGGGAAGCTTCGGGGGTGGTGATCGGGGCAAGCTGTCCGTGTCCGGTCTGGCGCCGGTTGACGTTCCCACCTTTTGCAGCACAGCTGTCCGGTTCGGTGTGGTGCTGCTGCCAGCTCACCTCACCTCAGCTTCAGTTGCCCGTAGTGGAGGTCCCTGCCATAAACTGGGCGGAAAATCATTGGCCCCAGCTGCGATGGCTTTTCGTGGTGGGGCCCGCATGTTCCATCCGCTGCGGGGCGCACGGTCCCTGCACGGGCTGCCAGGGGTCCAAAGTCTAGATTTAGTGCTGGCGAATCGAACTTTTAGTTTTCGTGGATGACCTCACGACCTGTCAGCGACCTCCCGGCCGCACCTCACTCTGCGGTGTTCCTCTGGCTGTCTCAATGCACCTATTGCGATACAATCCGATCCCTTACTTACACCATCTTTTAATCTGATTCATCCTGGAAGCCTCACGATGAAGGCTTGCAGAACCGTCACCCAAGCCCGCGCGTCTCTTACAGCGCAGAGATGCTCCTCCTCCGCCGCACGCCAGCAATGGCGTCGCCATGCCAGCGGAGGCCCTCGCCGTCCGGGGCAGAAGTCTCTACTCGGGAAGCTCGTCCCATTGGCTCTCACGGCGGGAGTCGGTGGTGGTCTCTACTACCTGGACGACTCGATGAACGGCCCCATCAAGCAGCTGCTCAGCGGCGAGAGTAAGGACGCCGATGCCCGCAAGCCAAAGTACCAGCAAGCAGAGATCGAGTTTGAGAAGTCGAGGAAGCAGTCGCAGTCCGGATCCAAGGAGGAGAACCGCGACCTCATCAGCTCTCAGCACCTCCAGGTCAAGAAGAGCTGGGAGAACCCCGGCGTCTACGCCTGGGGCTCCAACGTGGGCAAGGTCATCGACCCCAAGGCCAAGGAGAGCGTCGTCAAGCTCCCGCGGAGGATTCCTTACTTTGACGGGAAGCTGTTGAGGGATCTTAAGCTGACACAGGATTTCGGCGCTGCCGTTACGGAAAAGGGCGACATTGTGCAGTGGGGACTGGGCTTTTCAAAGACGGACCCCTCACCTGTCGAGACGCTCAAGGGCAAGGACATTTCCAAGATTACAGTTTCCAGCGACCGCATCATCGCTCTCTCAGCAAATGGATCGGTATACTCACTCCCGGCGGCCCGCAATGACCAAGAGTCCGGCGCCAAGCTGGAGCCGCAGTCAAAGTCGTCGTCCTGGATCCCCTTCTGGAGCTCCAGCGGCCCCGAGACCGTCAACTTCAGAATCCTGACGCCAAAGTCGCTCAGCCGCGGTGAGAAGGTCACGGACGTCAAGAGCGGTCTGCAGCACTGCCTGCTGCTGACGTCCAAGGGACGTGTCTTCTCCGCCGCCGCCAGCACCTCCGAGTTCCCGTCCAACGGCCAGATGGGCATCCCCGGCCTCAGCTGGACATCCCGCCCCGCCGGCCCGTACGACCAGGCGCACGAAATCACCGGCCTGTCCGGGTTCAAGATCGCCAAGATCGCCGCCGGCGACCTCCACTCTGCGGCCCTGGACAAGGACGGCAAGCTCTTCACCTTTGGCGACAACACCTACGGCCAGCTCGGACTGCCCGCAGAGGCCATCTACCAGAGGATCGACGTGCCCTCCCTCCTGCCCACCGCCAAGCTCTACGCCAACAGCGGCATGATCCCCAAGATCACCTCCGTCGCCGCCGGCGGCATGAACACCTTCTTCACCGTCGACGCCGCGGAAGCCGGTGGCATCCAGACCACCGCCACCACCGGCGACCTCGCTCCGGCGCGCCGCATGCCCCGCATCGCAGCCGACCTCTGGGCCTGCGGTCAGGGCGTCTACGGCTCCCTCGGCACGGGCAAGTGGACGCACGTCACGCCGGGCCCGGCCAAGGTCAAGGCGCTCTCCTCGCTCTTCGAGTTCGACGAGCAGGCGAACCGCATGTGCCCGATCCGGCTGCACAACATCTCGGTCGGCAGCACGCACGTGTCGGCGACGATGGACAACGTCACGCGCGTGGGCGCCGGGGCGCGCGGCTCCGAGAACGACACCAACTGGGGCGCCGACGTGCTCTTCTGGGGCGGCAACGAGCACTACCAGCTCGGCACGGGCAAGCGCAACAACCTCAACGCGCCGGGCTACATCGGCGCGCTGGACGGCGGCGCGGGCGACGCGCTCATGGGCCGCGGCGGCGAGACGCACCGGTTCCAGCTGACGCCCCGGCAGACGGTGCGCCTGGGCGAGGACGGCAAGGGCAGGAAGGTGAGCTTGGAGCAGCGGGTGGAGTGTGGGCGGTTCGTGACGGCCGTGTACTCGGGCGTGTAAGTGGCCTTTGTGCCCTTTCTGCGACGGCAACGTCAACGCGGACCGACTGTTACACGTTTCACCATTTAGGGGGGCACGTCACTACGATGTTGGGAAGAGGGAGCTGTGCGACTAAAGGAACTGGGAAGGAAAACTGTAAGGATATAACCATGTAATTTTACACGCAGACCAAGAACATGACCGCTATAAGGCCTGAGGTCGACGAGCTATGGGGGGAGGGCGTTTCTGGCAGGGATACTCGACGCGGAGGTAGGTAAAGCAGGCTGGACGTCGTCGATAAGTCGGAGATATTATCAAAGGGGATCATCAGCCTCAATAGGCTTGCCCCTTTATTTTTTGCTTGGCCAAATTTCAACTCACCTTCTTTTCACTTACTCGCTCGAGCATCTTGGTGTATCCTTGTGTGTGGAATGGTGGTGGTGGGGGGCTTTGTAGATCGTCCGCGAGATGCTGCAGAACGTGAATCATCTGAAGTCTGGTCTGTGCTTGGCGTTGTTTTCGAAGGAAAGGGGGGTGGGTGTGCGGTCAAAGTCGCTTCGTTCCGAAAAGGCTTTCTCGGCGAAAGTCTGGGTAAAAAAAAGGGCTGTGCGATGGTATCAGTAGCAATGTAGGCAACTTGTGACGACCGACAGACACACAGAGAGAGAGAGAGTCGCAAGCATTACGTGATGTATGTTACATGGGACCATCGCCATCTCGAGTCGTACGCCTAACGCAACGACTTGCCGAAGACGACGATGACACTGGAGCGAATGGCGTGGGCTTTCGGGCTTGGCGGTCCGGCTTGGTAGTGACAGACCTTAGGTTGGATGCCTTGTGCAGCCGATAGAGTTATTCCAGAAGCTTGTCATCCGGAACGGGGGCAGCGTTGGATGGGGGAGAGGGAAATTAGTACCGATGTGGTAGTATCTCGGTCTCGTGTTGACGGATCTGCCCGTGTGTGCGTGTTGTTGCGAGAAAGTTGTCTCTGATGATGTGAGGCCAACACGCACACACGCTTGAGGACTGTGGACGAGTCACCTTCCATCATGTTTGCTTTCCGCCCTTTCCAGTAAGTAAGTTTGCAAAGCCTTTCCCATTCCGCTCGTGCTGGGTGATCATCTACAGCAGGGCATCTAAACTTAGCACACACACATACACGCGCATGCGCGGCGAATAGCCGAATGACTTGCCGGCAAACAAACACGCACGCAATGCCGCGGATGATCTGTTCCATGGGAAATAAACCCGTCGGGGTGGAACAACAAGCCGAAAAGGGCTTTTGCGGTTTCTGTTTACTTTCTTCGGCAGAACACGAACACTCGGCCGTGACAGGTCACAGAAGGCGGCGGCGACGACGGCGGGCCCGTCCCGTCCGCCACCCATCTTGAAATAGGAGTGTGGCGCTCGCGCGATCGGCAAGTTTCGTCGAACCTGGCGGTTCCGCCAAAACAGACGAACGAGGTTGCGGACGAATGGGGTGACTTTTGATGTGCCCGTGGGGGAGAAGCGAGAGAGAACCTACGATGGACACTGATTTTCCTCCACAGCCTCCTCGAAGAGGTAACCCACTCGGCAGCGCTGGACCGAGCCTGTCCGACAGTCGCACTCGAGAGGAGAGAGGTTGAATGGGATGTTCACTTAAACTTCTTTGACTTTCTCCCGAAGAAAAGTCTGAAGATAGAATTTCTTGAGAGAGGGAAGATGCCGAGATACGAGCGGCCAGATCTCAATCTTCTCAATCTTGGCTTGTGGTGGAGGTTGCTCACCTCACAGTTCAGCTGGAAGTTTTCCGAAAAGTTAGTGGAAACGGCCAATGAGACGGCGGGGATTATGCCGTGCGGGAGTGGAAAAGGGCGGGCAGCCCCCCCGTTTCGGGATACGGTTGCCGCTGTACGGTGAGCTGCAGGGAGGTGGTTTAACTGAGGTGCCAACCTGCCTGCCCTGCGATGCCCTGCAGCAGCACCAACGGCAGCATCAGCAGCAGCACAGCATCGGGGACGGGACCTTGGCAGTGTGAGTGAGTGAGTGAGTGAGGCATGGAAGCCCAATCAGTGGAAGTGGGCATCCAGCTCCTCGGGACGCGGCGGCAAGGCGGAGGCTAGTGGGGCCACAACGCCCCGGGGCCCCCCCCTGGCGCCGTGGTCACTGGTGTTGCCCAGAAGCAAAAATACCCCCACCTCGCCATTAGCCCCCCTCCCCCAAAGCAGGTGCTACGGTGCTGCCCCCTAGAAACCCAGCAAAACCTCCGTGCACTGCCTTGAAGGCCCCTGTCAGCCGCTGCGGGCGGAAGGCAAAAAAGACACTGAACCTGGGCAGAGCAGGGCAGCAGAGAGAGAGAGAGACAGGCAAACACTGCTAGTGAATGCTGCCCTGGCCTGAGTTTGACGAGCTGCCCGGAAGCCGGGAAGAGAAAATAAAGCCCCCTGGCCAAAGTAAAGTCGCATTTGCAGATTGCAGGAACAGGGCCAAAGGGACGGCTAGATTGTATCGAATTCCATCGGGTCCAGGCCGTCTCGTCCAATCGCCAAAGTCCGCCCCTCGGCCGGAAACAGAACGTGCAACGAAGCAGGATCCAGGGAACTTCCCAACCAACCTGCTGAACGTCTGGACTCTCGCTGCTGTCATCATCTCACGTCTTCTGCCCCTTAACTCCTGCTCCGATCATGCCTAGATAACACCCGCCCACACATCCGGAAGCCTCCTCTTGCGCCGCTCTCCTTATTCTTCCCTCTGGACCTCACCCTCTCCTTCAGTCTCTCTCCCTCCGTCAACCTCACAGCTCCTCCCACTGCTCAGCCAGGCTCCACGTTGCTCGCCCTGCCTGCCCACGTTCTCGTTCGTGGGGAAAAAGGACGGGAAGCTTTTACCGAAAAGAGAGAGCTTGCGATACCCGCCTTTTTTGATTATTATAATCAAATTTCTACTCCGTATTGTCGTCCTAATCGTGGCAATTTCCGCTTCCGAAGCAAGGCCAACCAACCCTCTTCAAGCTGTCGGTTTTTTTTTTCCACAGCTTTCTTCTTCTGCTGCCTCCGCTCACACGCTGTCTCTCTTCTCTTCCACTGTCAGGGTTTCCTCGCTCTCTCTCTTTTCCCTCTCCATACATACCTCCGCCCTCCCTCCTTCTCCCCTTTCCTCCAAAGAAAGGAAAACCAATACTTGTCTCCCTCTGCTCTCCCCTAATATCAAACAACCTTTCCCCCATCATCCCACCACCCGACTCCCTTCCTGGCCGACGGCACGTGCCTCCCGAGTGACACAAACCAAAAAAGAAACCCGACTCGTGACGCACGAACTAGGACGCAGCACGCCCTCTCGTCCACGCACCACACGCCCACGTCCACGTCCACGCCCCCCGACTCTGCAGCGAGCACCACCGAGGGCCTATCCATGCGCGTCTCTCATCCCGATCGCCAGGAACGCAGCTAGTGCCCTGCCACTCGTCATCTGTCGAGTCCACCCTCTCGCGCGCGCCTGTCCTGTCGTTGGACTTGTGATTCACGCACATCACACTGCCTGCCTGCCTGCCTCCTGGCCAACGGCGACACATATCTTTTTCTCCTTTGATCCTCTCTCTCTGCCTCATCCCTCCTCCGGGGTGCAAACATCTTCTTCTCCCTTCCACCTGCGCAAAAGGCAGCAAGCACCCCTCGCCATCCCAAGGGAAGCCGACAAACCAACAAAACTCCGAGCCCGCCTCACGGTTAAGCTACGCCGCACCAAGCGCCCGACTCGCTCTACCCCAACTTTGGCCCTCGCTGCAGCTCTCCGTCTCGCCGGGCCGCCACGCTATATCCAAAAAAAGAAAGGAGCTTCCTGCAGGCCGCCGACTGCCACCATACTCACCACCACGGCCCCCAAAAGCTCTGACGACATTACGGCCTACTTAAGCAACCCTTCACGCCGGGCGGTGCTTCGCACCATCTCGCCGACTTCTTTGTCGCTCCTTCCGTCAGCTTCATCGCTTTCGCGGTCATCCTCCGACTTCTACCCGACGAGCCACCGAAACCCCACCGTCGTCGCAACAGCTTCACGCCTCTTCAGCGCACCCCGCGCACCCACCGTGACATCCTCAGCCTTACCACAACCACCCCGCGCGAACAAGATGGACCACCTCCCGAAATTCCGCAGGAAACCAAAGATTCCAACCATTTCCACCACCGACGTCAAACCCCCGCTGTCCCGCAACGGCAGCGGCATCATCGAGCAGGAGCACCCCTCGCCCCAGCAAATCTACCCCTCCACGACCGTCACCGTCACCAGCAGCGGCCGACAGTCCCCAAAGCCCGGCCTGCGCAAGTCTGCCTTCCGCGGCTTGCACCTGCGCAGCTCCGGCAAGCGCGTCCGCTCCCCGCCGCCCGCCTCCCTGCCCTCCTCGCCTCCGCCCGCCATCGTTTCCCACGACGGCATCACCTCCTCGCCGCCGTCGACGAAAAACAAGGAGGGCAGGGACGATGCGGCCGCCAGAGCGTCGTCGGACAGGGAGAGCCGGGCGAGCTCGGACCCCAAGCCAAAGATCCCGGCCTTCCTGGATCTCTCCACACCAGGTAGGAGCCCCTCGCGGAGCCCTTCGCGTTGGAAGCCCTCCAGAAAACGAGGACTAGGCGCTGACCATGACATGTCGCGGCTGCCCACAGACCTGGAGAACAAGTTCCAGGAGCTCGTCTGGCAGGAACGCAACCGCCTCGCCGCCGGCATGGCCCCCGACGCCGATGAGAACTCGAAATGGGGCTCCTTCAAGCAGACCGATCTGAGTCGCGGCGTCCAGGACCGCTACTTCAACATCAAGCCCTGGAACCACAACCGCATAAAGCTGCGCGTCCCCGAGGACGAGCTCGACTACGTCAACGCCTCCACCATCACGCTCACCTCGCCTTCGAACAAGGACCTCGAGCCGCTGCGCTACATCGCGATGCAGGGCCCGACGCAGGCATCCCTCGACTTCGTCTGGCGCATGGTCGCCGAGCAGCTCTCCTCCCCCGTCGTCATCGTCCAGCTCACGAGCATGTTCGAGAACAACCAGGCAAAGTGCTTCCCCTACCTGCCGATGGACGAGGAGGCCGACGGCGGCGGCTGGGTCCTCAACGAGACGGACGGCTGGAACGACGGCTGGACCGCGACACTCTCCTTCGACTCCCTCGAGACGCTCGAGAACGGCGCCATCGAGGTGCGCAAGCTGCGGCTCCGCGTCGGCGACGAGGACGAGGACAGGATAGTCTGGCACATGCTCTACACCAAGTGGCCTGACTTCGGCGTCCCCGCCGTCGACGACCTCGGCAGCTTCTTCACCCTCATGCGCCTCTCGCGCGAGTACAACACCGCCGCGCCCGCCCCGGACACGCAGCCGCGCATCATCCACTGCAGCGCCGGCGTCGGCCGCACCGGCACCTTCATCACACTGGAGCACCTGATGCGCGAGCTCGACGAGGGCGCGCTGCTGGACTACGACGCGGGGGCCGGCGGCGCGGGCGAGGACCTAATCTACGCGACCGTCGACGCCCTGCGCGAGCAGAGGCGGAGTATGGTGCAGGCCGAGGCGCAGTACCTGTTCCTGTACCAGGTGCTGCGTAAGCTGTGGCAGGAAAAGTACGACGTGGAGGACAGCAGCGACGGCGACAGTGAGCCCGCGGCTAAGAGGCTCGAGGTCGACGAGCGGTCGTCCCTGTCGTCTATGGATTGACGCCCGGTTGAAGTCACGGCCAGGAGAACGGGAGAACCAGAAGACGATGACGACGAATAACACCATACCTAATCATAAGAGCGGCGGCAGCATGGGAGATGCAGACCATCTCTCCCTCTCTTTTTCTTATTTAATCACATGAAAGCGACCAGCAGCAGCAGAAGAAAGCATCACCGGCGGCGTTTCTCAAGGGGCGGGAAGTAGCATGAGCATGAACGGAACACACACACTCGACAGGGCGTGTAAGAATACGATACCAAGACGTTGAATTTTTTTTTTGATACCCGTGTAACATGGCTATATTGGAAACAGGACAGACACATTTGGAGGCGGGAGACAGAGGTTTTAGCGGGAGAATTGCAAGCCGCGCAGAGCGACGGTGCGCACCCAATATATGTTTTCAGATACCCTCATCACCGGTGTTTTTTTGACCATCCAGAAGTGTGTCTTCGTCTTGCAAGTGACATTTGTGGCATCGGGAAAGTGTTATACGAAGGCTTTCATTGACATGATATGACTTGATCTTGTGGCCATCCATCCCTCATAGCAAACAAACCCTACCACGGGAAGCATAACATAAGCAATAATGAGGTTCATTTGACAGTCCGCGGATTCCACGGGGGTCCAAGCCATAGGGCTGACTTCTGGGCTCTTGGCTTTTTTGGTGTTCCCTATTCCTTCCCGCCCTGAATCTTTTCCTAGTCTCGGAGCGAGGTCCGAGGTCCGGCATCCGCAGTCATTTACACCCGACCGCCGCACAATTATATCGTGTAATCTAGACTGAAAATTCACTCGAAAGTCCGGTGTTCTCCAGGGGTTGGTCACAGAGCAGACGCCAGGGCAATAGTCAAAAAAAAGCAGAAAAGTTTGAGACCTGCGGGACAAGCATATAAAAAAGCCTCAACGCCTAAGCGCAACATTGCGGACCAGTCCGGCGCCGGCGCAAAGGCTAAATGATTGCAGAATATGACGTATCGTTTCTTCAGCACGTCAGGTTGTCAATCAGTTGTTGAAGAACAATTTTGGGACACGATGATTGGGCAGTTGCACATCGCGGGTCCAGATCTCAAGAAGGGGAAGAAGAAATTGGGCTCGAAGGTTTAGGGAAGCTGCCGAAAGGTGAGATGTGACGGCGCACGCAACCTTGCGAGGGACGCGCACGTCCAAATCTCCCATGCCTCTCTCGCTCTTTCCTGGACGAGGAGGTCGATATCTGGACAGTGCACAGAGTTGCGGTCAATCTATGCGCAGTCCTTTTGATGAACCGGCATTGCAGCATGGTTTGGGGCCGTTGGTCCGAGGTTGAACGTTAGACGTGCGATGTGACGAGCGTTCTGCGATACCGGACTCGGTCCGATTCAGCACGACAGCTCAGCCGGTAACGTCCAGGGTCGGCATCCATCCTCGGGAGAGGGAGCATGTTGTCGACCTCACCGGGCCATCTCTCGGCGAAGGAGGAATGTCATTGTCACATGGGGGCAAGTACGCGCGAAACAGCAGTCATCTTCTTGACCGGTCCCGGGGCCTCCCGCAACTCGGTGTGAGATTGCTGACCGGGGGTTTGTGGAGATGTACACGTGTGGTAAGCCGGGGTTCGGGAGGGAGGGAGGGAGGTACGGGCCTGTCCCTCGATTTGCCCGTCGAATGAGACATCCGCGCTTTTCTGTCATCTGCGACTTGCGATATGAGAAAGATGAGTTCTCCGATCAAACTCCGGATTGCCTTGCATGTGTACCTATTGGCCATGTGACGGTGACGAGACGGCCAGGATGCAGGATGCGTCATTGGCTATGTTGCGAGGGCTTGCATCTGACAGATCGCTGGCCATGAGATCGGACAACCTCTCGCGGAAGCTTGAAGATGAGAAGATGTACGCATCTACTGGATCAACAGAGTTGGAGAAACGGTAAAGATGCGCGGGAAGACCTGAAGATCCTTGAAGTTTAGCGGATAAATCAAAGGCCACGAACAGCACATGGCCACTGCAGGAAAGGTCCCTGGTTCGATGGTGGTTGCCCGGTGTGCCTTCCAGTCCAGTCCATGCCCCTGAAGGATCCGTCGGTAGAATGCACCGAGGAAGGTCGCCAACCGAGACCGAGACCGTCGTTCAAGCAAAGAGCAAAATCCACATTTTCCAACCCAGGCCTCTGGAGCGAAGGTTATCAACTTCGAAAATCTCTAGTTCGGCATGATGGGCGAAAGGGGAAAAGATGAGATGAAGGGGTCTTGGATGATCTGATGTGACGATTCTGATGGAGGCAGTTCGGACCGGCGCGGCTAATTGGGGCCGGCTGGTCTTGGTATTCTCGGGCCCCGTTTTTGCCCATCGCTTTCGAGTCCGGCGATTAAGAAAGTGCCGTTTCCAAGTTGTCGTCCCCGTGGCTTCGTGTAGAGTGGCATCTCAATGGCCGCTTTCCCCGGACTTTGACGTGCCCGAGAGGTCGACGGTTCCATTAATAGCGCCGTTCTCGGGAAATGCGGTATGCTGTCGTTAGCCGTGCGACCTGTCGTTCAAAACTTCGCGGATTACTCTGTGACTCGAATGACGCTTGTGCAACCAGCAGACGTACGTGGTATCTTCTCGAGAGCGGCTCGAGTGGTGTGCGAAGGCTGCGAGGATTCGAACGCCTACTGCAGTGACATCTTGTGCCGTCGTTACACGGCAGCAGAGCACGGAGCAAGTCGGGTTGCTGAAGCGAGGTGCAGCGCAACTCAGCACCACAGGCTGGGGAACGAGACAAGATGAACCGGCAAATGAGGGGTCCGTCGACAACCCCAGATTCAGCACGGCAGGGTGCGGCGCGTGGTTGTTTGGAGTTGGGGTTCTAAGGCGCAGCGGAGGTTTCTTTCGGGCGCCATCAATTTAGCCATCACGCGCGTTGTGTGATGGCGGGCGGCCAGTCGACGAAGCTCTGCCGCTTCAGAGTTTCCCTCCGGCTGTTTAGGTTGGTGTGCCGGGCTTGATGATGTAGTGGATGCGACTCCCAGGTGTAAGTTGACGTTGATTCGCATGCATCGAAATGGTGTAAGTGGTATCCGACGTGTCTGTGCGTTTCTTTCCGCTGCCCATCATGACTGGCAGCAAGCGGCCGGCTGGCTGACCGAAGCGTGGGCTTGACACATGGTAGAGGCGCATCGAGGGCTGCAGGGTTGCGGTGAGAGCCTAAGGGGGTCTTTTCATTTGGAGCACCCGCCGAGCTTGACCTTTCGCTCTCTGCATCCCGGGGCACGGACATTGCCATGCGAAGTGGCGCCTTGTGCTGATGGAGTTGAAATGCTGTGGCACTTACTCGTTCGAGTGCAAATGCCGGTGTACCTGGATATTATTGCGTGTGGCCAACATCAAGCTTGCGGAGAGCCAAACGGGCGCGAAAGGCCTCTTGCAATCCCGAGTGCGCGGTGTACACAATACAGCGAGGCCTGGTAAATGACGATGCCTGTCAAAAGTCTCTTTTGTGGCTTTTCCTGACGTCCGGATCCCAGATGACACCCTCGCCGAGCGACGGTTCATTGAGCTTGAGCTCAGTCGGGACAAGCGCATCTCTCGTGTCGCATGGGTTGAGTCAGTTCTTACAACGACCGCTAGAAAGCAAGGCGGTTTCCCCAGAAAATAGTAGCGACCTCCAAGGTCGGCGCAAGCTTTGGGGTGCGACATGACAGCGCAAACCTGGTGTGTCTGTTTGTGTGTGTGTGTGTGTGTGGATGCGCTGAGAAGTGGTGTGGGTGAGAGATGAGTTGGCCCAACGGGCGGCAGTTGAGAAGAGAAGCGAGGCTGGATTGGGATAGGAGGAGAGCGAGGCTCCATCCGGCAGGGTTGCTGGCGGGCTTCAGACGGGAAGAGACCGCAAGTCCGGGAGGATGGATGGGTTGGAGCCTTGAGGTGTCTCGGACTGCTGGCGTTGATGTCGAGTCTGGCGGTGAGACGACATAGGGAGAGAAGTGAGGCCTTCCTTCATTGCAGGTATGGGGTCAAGCACTGGACTTGGGATGAGGTTGAGTTGGAGTTCGAAGTCATAGCTGCGGAAATTTGATTCGCGGAGTGCACAAAAGCATAAGGGGAGATAAGCCATCGAGATGTGACTTGTCCGGCAGCGAAGGGAGTTGGATCCGGGGAAAGGCAATTCCAAGGAACTGACAGCTGCGCACGGCGCTGGTAGGTCTGGGCGCAGCCTCATGACGCCGACCGCCTCCGTTGCGGAGTGGTCGGTGTGCGCTGCTAAGCACCATTATCGCATGGGTGAAATCTGAGGCTCGAACCTGGCGGAGATAAGTGGAAAGCTTGCAGCAGGAAGTGGTCAGAGGTCGGTGCGAGATGCGAGGTGTGTAGAAGACAGGCTGAGGCGATGATGAGAATAACGATGATGTTGTGTGGTTGGGAAGCAGGCAGGTAGACCCGCCCGGAGTATTAGTCGGGTCCTTGGGCGGAGGGATACTGGAAGCGAAGGAAGCTGGTCCCAGTTGAACACGTCCCGTCGCGGGCAATTTCAACAGAACCATTTGTCTTTTGCCTGTTTCGTTACTCTCGGTGTCGTTACCATGCCGAAGGCGACGATGTTTCTGTCGCTCCGTAGGTAGGTAGGCATCCCGAGCTCGGGTCCAGGTTGGTCCATGTGAAGTGGTCTCAGTCAACCAGCCATCCGGGCTGCCGAGCAACACAATCACATGCTCTAGGTGTCATCCCGTGGTTTGATGTAGGATGACGAGGCAGAAAAAAAGGACAGAGGCAGAGAAAGTGAAGGGATTGAGTTTGAGGCAGGCACTGGCCCCCGTTGGAGGCTCTCGTCCCTCTTTCGTCTGGTGTTTTGATACGTAAGATCTCATGTCCTTTTGCTGCCGGCGAGTCAAGAAAGGTGCGCTAACACATATTACCGCCGGTACTGTTTCCGATGTTGCAGCAAGGCGAAGCAGGGCTGTCGCTGTCTCGGACTAAGTTTGCAAGTTCAGGGTCTCTACATTAGACAACGGGAGGAAATGTGGTTTTGTTGAAAAGTGACAGCCAG